TTTGTTTAAGCATTATGCACATTTGTGTTACCCAGAAAACCACGTCATTTCAGAAAAAGTACACCAGATCGTTTTTCAGACATTTCACCTTCATTTTTGACCTTTCCAAGGTCGCAAAAACAATTTTTTCATAAGACAAGTTTGATGTAAAATTTTCCGCTCTTTCGAAATCCGCAGTCAAAAATAGGGTGTCCCATTAGAAAAAACCATCGTGACCTTGAAGTAACCTTCAAAATTGACCTCAAGGTCAAAACCAATGGTACAATTGAATGACCCCCTCTGTCCTGGTCAACTTTTATCTAAACCATTTTTTTGTAGATACCGTAATTTGGAAGATATTCGGATCCATAGACTAAAATGACTCACCCTGTATATATATATATAAAATTCGAAAAAAAGTTTTTAACCAAGAGCAAATAAGCACCACCTTTACGCACGCACGCACGCACGCACGCACGCACGCACGCACGCACGCACGCACGCACGCACGCACGTTTAATAATTTGAAATTTATTTTGAAAAGCGTTGTCTATGTAAGTTTTGAGAAAAATAACATTGTTGGTACAGGATCTTCTTTTCCTAAAGCAGTTTTGAAAGTTGGGAATTACTTGATTTTCTGTCCACCATTCAAGTCTGAATTTAATTAGTCTTTCAAAGATTTTAAGTAAAATAGACGATATTGAAATTGGTGTCATGCCATTATTATAAGATTTAGGAATAAAAATCATTATAAATTTTTCCACGCAATGGAAAATTTACCATCTCTCAACATATTGTCATATATAGATCGAAGTTTTGTAGTAAACGATATAGGCAAGTGTTTTAAAATATTTCCGGTAATCATATCCAAACCAGGGGCTTTTTTGTTATTACAAGCGGATTTAAATGATACAAGGAATTCCTCTTCATCAATAGGATTACACAGTGAGTAGGTATACTATAGAGGTTCTAACCCAGGTTCTCCGTGGGGGGGTGAAGGGCGAGGGGTACCGCGGGCGGGGGCTATGACGTCACCGGGGGGTATGACGTCAGAGGGGGATTGCATCATGGGGGGTATGACGTCACCGCGGAGGGGGGGCGTGATTATCATTGGTCGGTAATTGGGGGGGCATACCGATGTTACCGGCGGTCGGTAATTTCTACCGATATTATATAACATTTAATTATATAATTTTTACCAACATATAATTACACAATACCGATAATACCGACGATCGGTAATTTATTACTGATATTATATACAAACATTTAATTTTTTTTTACCAACATTTAATTTTTTACCAACATATATTTACATAATTTTTACCAGCATATTTACATAATACCGATGATCGGTAATTACTGATATTACATGATTTTTCTATCTGCTTTCGATAGATCATTTTACCGATCTGCGGCGGTTTTTTCGCGGCGGTTTTCGCGGCCGTTTTTCCGCGGCGGTCTCCGCGGCGGATTTTGCGGCGGTTTTTGTGCCGTCCGCGCCGTCCGCGCCGCCCGCGCCGCCCGTGCATTTCGCAGCGTGGTTTTTAGTCACAGTTGCAAACTCTAATATTCTGCAAACGTATGCATTCGACAATTAGATGCGCAAGAAAAAGAATGTGACACATGATATTCTTATTACTAATGAGCACGTACACTGTGCCCCCGCGACAAGATTTTGCAAGCGATGGATGCATTCGACAATTAGATGCGCAAGAAAAAGA